CCTTGTGCCGGTTCCCCTCCCCGGTAGACCCCCTCCCCCCTCAGGTTCCTGCCCCCTCATGTGTGTCCCAGGTAGAACGCCGTTGACCCGGTCGAGGTTCTGGTGACTCTGGTGCTGCTGTGCGGGGTGCTTGAGCCTGGGGGTGCTGACTCTGAGGGTGCTGTGCGCGGGGGTGCTGAGCCTGGGGGTGCTACTGCTGGGGGTGCTGGGCCTGAGGGTGCTACTGGCGGAGGGTGCGGAGCCTGGGGGTGCTGAGCCGGGGGGTGCTATGCCTGGAGGGGCTGGGTCTGGGGGTGCTGGGTCGGAGCTGCTGAGCCTGGGGGTGCTGAGCTGGGAGCTGCTGAGCCTGGGGGTGCTGCGTCTGGAGCTGCTGACCTGGGGTTTCTCCTGCTGCTGCTGCGTCTCGCCGGGAGCCCCTCTCTCCACAGGACTGCGCGAGTGGTTCGCTCGCCGGCGCTGGAGCGTGCTGCTGAGTCTGGAGGTGCTGCTGGAGCTCTGGAGCTGGGGCTTCTTCGACCGTCGAGGGTGCGGGTGCAGCCGGTCCCGGAGCTGCTGGCCCTGCAGGTCCTCCTGGAGCTGGAGCTGCTGAGGGCGTTCGTGCTGAGCCTGCTGCTGTTGGTCCTGCCGCTGGAGGTGTGGGTGGCGCTGGTGCTGTCGCTGAGGGTGCTGGTGCTGTCCCTGCTGAGTCGGAGCTGCCGCGCGGCCTGGCCTCGGCCGTACTTCGTTTCCGCTCCTTCAGCAGGTTCTTGGTCTTTCTCCTCCAGTAGAGGGTCCACCGCCTGTCCAGTCGCAGCCCCTACTGGAGCCTTCCTCTCCACTGCCTGCTCCCTCTCCTTACACTGGTCCTACTGGAGGTCTTGCTGAGCGTCGTGAGCCTGCGTCTCGTCCCGCGTCGCCTGTTCGTGCTGCTCGCCGCTAGTGGTCGCAGTTCGCGTCAGCGTCCTCCTCCTGTCCCTGGCACGCACCGGATGTCTCTGCGTCCGTCCACTGCTCTCTGCGTGCCCCTTTGCCTTCTCCTCCTGAGTCCTCTCTTCCTGCGCTTGCGGACCCTGAGTCGGACTCTCTTCGTGCTGCCAGTCCCACTGTCACGCGTCTGCTTGCTACTGTCGTCACTGACCCCTCTTTTGAGTCCACTGCTGCGTCTGCTCTAGTCGCTGAGCTCGTCGACTTTGCTGCTCGCTGTCGTCTCGACTACGCTGCTAGTCTTGTTGCTGAGTCTGCGTCTGTCTGTCCTCCGTCCGTCGGGGGTGAGTGTGCTCTTGGCACGGACGTCCTAGAGGACAGGCAGGAGGAGTTACAGTGTCTAGCGGCTGCTTCACCTCATCTCGCGTCTGTACTGCTTGCCCCTGAGGGAGACCCGGATGCACTAGACATCCCGACTCCGCGTTCTTACGCGGAGGCCGTAGAGGGTCCCTACTCCTCTCAGTGGCAGGCAGCTATGGATGCAGAGATGGCTTCCTGGAAGTCCACAGGCACCTACGTTGACGCGGTTCCCCCTCCTGGGGCGAACATCGTCAGTGGCATGTGGATCTTCAGGGTGAAGCGGCCGCCGGGCTCTCCACCTGTCTTCAAGGCACGGTACGTTGCTCGTGGCTCTTCACTCAGCGCGCAGGGAGTTGACTACTTTCAGACCTTCTCTCCCACCCCGAAGATGACTACTCTTCGGGTGCTGCTGCACATAGCCGCTCAGCGCGACTACGAGCTTCACTCTCTCCACTTCAGCACTGCGTTCTTGCAGGGTAGCCTGCACGAGGAGATCTGGCTTCGCCGTCCACCTGGCTTCACTGGGTCTTTCCCTCCTGGCACCCAGTGGGCCTCCGACGGCCAGTCTACGGTCTCCGCCAGGCACCGCGCGTGAGTGGCACGACACACTGAGGACTACGCTTGCGGCTCTTGGTTTGCTCCTTCTACTGCTGACCCCGTCGCTGTTTCTTCGCACCGACACTTCCCTGCCGCCGTTCTACATCCTCGTGTACGTCGACGACCTGGTCTTTGCCACACAGCGGACACTGCTGGACTCGCCTACGTGAAGTCCGAGCTGTTGAAGAGACACACGTGCACAGACCTGGGTGAACTGCGCAGCTACCTTGGCTTGCAGATCACTCGGGACAGAGGCACGCCGCACCATTACCTTGACTCAGTCACACATGGTGCAGCAGGTCCTTCAGCGCTTCGGCTTCACGTACTCCTCGCCTCAGGCCACTCCTCTGCCTACTCGCCACTCACTCTCAGCTCTGCCTTCGGATGAGTCCGTAGAGTCGAGTGGTCCGTATGCGGAGCTTGTTGGCTGCCTCATGTACCTGATGACCTGCACACGACCTGACCTTGCATACCCTCTGAGCATTCTTGCACGCTATGTTGCTCCTGGGAGACACAGACCGGAGCACATGGCTGCAGCGAAGAGGGTATTGCGCTACCTGTGCAGTACGTCAGGCATGGGGCTAGTGCTTGGAGGGCGGAGTCCAGTGGTCCTTACCGGCCACGCGGACGCTTCTTGGGCTGACGACCAGGCTACGCAGCGGTCGTCACAGGGTTACACCCTTCAGCCTTGGTTCCGGCTCTGTCTCGTGGCGGTCTACTCGCTCGTCTTCGGTTTCTCGGCTCCAGTTGTGAGGCTGAGATCTACGCCGGGGCCATGGCTGCACAGGAAGCTTCGCTGGCTCACCTACCTGCTGACTGACCTTGGAGAGCCGCCTCGTTCTCTCCAGTGCTGTACGTAGACAACAGGCTATGCTGGCCTTGTGTCGAGAGCAGCGCTTGGAGCACAGAACGAAGCACATTGCTCTCCGCTACTTCCTTGCTCGTGAGCTGCAGCAGCGTGGTCAGTTGCGACTTGCGTACGTGGCCTCTGAGGCCAACACTGCTGATGTTTCACCAAGGCACTTGCGCCTTGTGACCATCAGCGCTTCTGCACCCAGCTGGGTCTTGTGCCTGTCTTGCCTCACTTGCTCTCCTCTTGACTTCACTTGTACTGTGACATATATATATACCTGCTCTTGCTTGTCTAGCTTTATATATATGTCTGTACTCTTGCTTGTGAACTGGCCTTTGGCCTTGCTCTTTTGCTCGGACTGTGTGGTGACTTTGTGATCCACCCTGAGCTTTGCTTTGTCTTGCTTGACTGGTCTTGTGACCCCTTGTTCTCCCCCACTTTGCCTATGGGGGTGTGTCAGAACATATCTAAGCTTATACTGCTGTGTAGGCTGTAGTGGGGTATCCCATAGGGGGTACAACCCAGTTAGGGTTTTCATATTTGTACTGCTTTCGTTCATAGTTTCATTCATTCCTGTTTTCCTATTGTCACAGGTCAGGTTGTGTGCAGGTCATCAGATACATGAGGCAGCCAACAAGCTTTGGGTACGGGCCACTCAACTCTACGGACTCATCCGAAGGCAGAGCTGAGAGCGAGTGGCGAGTAGGCAGAGGAGTGGCCTGAGGCGAGGAGTACGTGAAGCCGAAGCGCTGAAGGACCTGCTGCACCATGTGTGACTGAGTCAGGGTAATGGTGCGGCGTGCTCTGTCCGGGGTGATCTGCAAGCCAAGGTAGCTGCGCAGTTCACCCAGGTCAGTGCACGTGTGTCTCTTCTGCAGCTCGGACTTCACGTGGGCGAGTCCAGCAGTGTCAGTAGTGGCAAAGACCAAGTCGTCGACGTACAGGAGGATGTAGAACGGCGGCAAAGAGGTGTCGGTGCGCAGAAACAGGGACGGGTCAGCAGTAGAAGGAGCAAACCCAAGAGCCGCAAGTGTAGTCCTCAGTGTGTCGTGCCACTCACGGGGCGCCTGGGGAAGACCGTAGACTGGCCGCCGGAGGCTCCACTGGGTGCTAGGAGGAAAAGACCCAGTGAAGCCAAGTGGGCGACGCAGCCAGATCTCCTCGTGCAGGCTGCCCTGCAAGAAAGCAGTGCTGAAGTCAAGAGAGTGCAGCTCGTAGTCGCGGTGAGCAGCTATGTGCAGCAGTACCCGAAGAGTGGTCATCTTCGGAGTGGGAGAGAAGGTCTGAAAGTAATCAACTCCCTGCCGCTGACTGAAGCCTCGAGCCACGTAACGCGCCTTGAAGACAGGCGGAGAACCCGACGGCCGCTTCACCATGAAAATCCACATGCCACTGACGATGTTCGCCCCAGGCGGGGGAACCTCGTCAACGTAGGTGCCTGTGGACCTCCAAGAAGCCATCTCTGCGTCCATAGCTGCCTGCCATTGAGAGGAGTAGGGACCCTCTATCGCCTCCGCGTAAGAGCGCGGAGTCGGGATGTCAAGTACATTCGGGTCTCCCTCAGGGGTAAGCAGTACGGACACGAGATGAGGTGAAGCAGCAGCCAAACACTGGAACTCCTCCTGCCTGTCCTCAAGGACGTCCGTGCCAAGGGCACACTCACCCCCGACGGACGGAGGACAGACAGACTCAGACTCAGTGACAAGACTAGCAGCGTAGTCTAGACGACAGCGAGCAGCAAAGTGGACGAGCTCAGCAATTAGGGCAGACGCAGCAGACTCAAAGGAAGGGTCAGTGACGACAGTAGCAAGGAGACGCGTGACAGTAGGACTGGCAGCACGAAGAGAGTCCGACTCCGGGTCGGTAAGAGCAGGAAGAGAGGACTCATGAGGAGAAGGCAAAGGGGCACGCAGAGGAGCAGTGGACGGACGTAGAGACATCCGGTGCGTGCCAGGGACAGGAGGAGGACGCTGACGCAAACCACAACCACTAGTGCGATAGTAGGCTCGCAGAAGGACAGAGGAGAGCTCTCAGCCTCTGTCAGAGTGTAGACGCAGAACACGAAAGTCCGAGCCAAAGCTCTGCCTGAGCTAGAGACGAGCTGCGCGGATCCAGTCGATCAACACCTCAGTGACATCACCCTTGCTGCGCAGGGGAAGATTGTGGTGTAACTCGAGTAGTGGTCAACCACCAGCAGGAAGTAGCGCTCGTGACCCTGTCCACGGACGCGGGCCGGGCCCCACACGTCCATGTGAAGCGTCTGCAGCGAGGCCTCTGTCGGAGGAAACTAGGAGGAGTGAGGGGCAGCCCGCTGCCGCCCCTCGACATAGGGGACGCAGGTAGGGCTAGGCCCCGGAGGAAGGGGAGGGAGGGACCGGGGAAGACCAGAGACAAGGAGACGGGAGGCCATGCCTCGGAGACGAAGCAGAGAGGGGTGACCAGGGCGGTGGTGCCAGAGGAGAGTCTGGGGAGACAGGAGGCGACACGAGCAGGGGGCAGACTCAGGACCAGACCTGGACGCTGCAGCAAATACCTGACGCGACGCAGCTACCTGACCAGACGCAGTGACTGGAGGAGACTCAGTGGTCAGTGTGTACAGGCTCGACCCCGGCCGACGTGTAAACGTGGCCAGGTGTCGGCCTGTCCGAGCGTCCGTGCAGTGGGTCACCCGCTGACTCGCAGGAGTGAACTGGTGAACCCCTGCATCCTGTAGGTCAGCACCACTCACCAAGTTTGTCGAGAATGAGGGGAGGTAAACACCAGACAGGGTGCAAGAGGGGGCCGCCGGACACGGGAGGACAATGGAGTAGTGAGCAAGGACAGGACCCCCAGAGGGGTCTGCCAGAGAGACTGCAACTGGCCGGCCAAGCGGCGTGAGTGTGGTGCGGTCTGGAAAGAAGGAGCGAGAAGCCCCCGAGTCAAGGGTGAAGGTGTGGAGGCCCGAAGCCGACGTAGTACCTGAGAGAGCAGACTCACCAGCACCTGAGGGAGCAGACGCACGAGCACCTAGAGCAGCAGCCTCGCTAGCACCTAGAGCAGCAACCTCACCTGTACCTAGAGCAACAGTCTCAATGCCCGGGTCGGGCGGAAAACACCGGTAACAGTCACCCTCATCACTAATAGTCACAGCATACATGGCAGCAAGAATAGCATCAAAGTCAAGGTCAAAGACAGCTACTCCCACCCTAGACAGTTCGCCCCAGCGAGGGATCTCAGTGGCCTCCGGGAACTGGTGACGCCAAGCGTCCGTCACGCGGCCAAAGTAGCGCTGGGTGGAGTGCGCACCCCCACACTGCTCACCCCGCGCAGTCGCCGGTGCGAAGGACGTAGGTGCACGGACCAGTACCCCCACCCTGTTGGCGTGCAGCGTACAACTGACGGAGCTGCTGAGGGGGGGGATGTCACGAGTGCGCTGCTGTTGCTGCTGCTGCTGGCGCTGACCACCACCAGAGCCGACCCTCTGCGCAGCGCCACCCCGACCAGCTCCACCTCCTCCACCACCGCCTCCTCCATCGCCGCCACCTCCCCGCCACCTCCGCTCCCACTGCCACCGCCGCCGCCGCCGCCGCCTCTGCCTCCACTACCGCCACTGACACCTCCACCCCCGCCACCACCCCCCACCGCCACCCCACCCCCTCCACCCTCCTCCACCGCCGCCTCCCCCCCCCCGCTAGCTCCTCCAGCGCCCTCGCCCCCCTTGACCTTGCCAGGGCGGCGTCTCCCGCTAGGGGTAGACGCCGCACCGACCGACTCAAGCCCAACGAGGTCGGCCGCGGCAGCAGATGGGGCAAGAGAGGCACCAGAGGTGAGGTGAAAGAGGAGAGACCGTCTGCCCTATCGCACTGTAGGAAAAGCTGCAGGTCATCTACCCTGACGTCAAAGTCAATGGCCCGACCCTCAGCGTCAAAAGTGAGGACACTAGGGGTAGCCATGACTGCAGTAGACTAGTAGCGCGAACAGTAGGGTAAGGGCAGTGCAGTGATAGAGGCGCTGCTCTTACCAGACAGGGCGGCTCGGGTGGCTTGGCGGCTCGGCGGCTCGGCAACTCGGCGGCTCAGGCGGCTCGGCGACGCGGCTGCTGGGCGGCTTGGCTGTTCGGCTGCTGGGCGGCTCGGCGGCTCAGCTGCTGGGCGGCTCGGTGGCTAGGCTGCTGGGCGGCTCGGCGGCTCGGCTGCTGGGCGGCTGTGCTGCTAAGGAAGGCGGGGCCGCGAAGGGCGGCGGGGCCGCTTAAGTGAGCAGCGACGGGGCCGCAGAGGAGGCGGCGGGAGGGCCGCTGTAAGGGGGGCGTTGGGCTGTAAGGGGAGGGCGGTGACGGGGCCGCTGAAAGAGGCGGCGGGGTCGCTGGAAGAGCGGCGTCGGGGCCGCTGTGAGGGCGGCGACGTGGCCGCGTCAGGGGCGGCGATAGGGCCGCTGTAAGGGCGGCGACGGGGCCGCTGCAAGGGCAGCGACGGGGCCCGCAGGTGAAAGGGCGGCGACGGGCCACAGAGGGAGGGCGGCAACGGGCCGCTGAGGGCGGTACGACGGGGCCGCGAAAGGGCGGCGCGACGGGGCCGCGAAAGGGCGGCGCGACGCGGCCGCGAAGGGCGGCGCGATGGGACCGCTAAGGGCGGCGCGACGGGCCGCTAAGGGCGACGCGACGGGGCCGCTAGGGAAGGCGCGACCCTAAGCGCGCTTCGGGCAGGGGCGGGACGCGCCTCGGCGGGCAGGAAAAAAAAAAGTCGGTGGGCCCTAGGAACAGTTCCCACTAGGGAACCTGCTCGATACCATGAGAAAAGAGAACGAGAATGATTGAACTATGAAAGAGTTGGGTACAAGTACTAACCCTAATTGGGTTGTACCCCTTATGGGCTACCCCACTACTGCCTACATAAATGTATAAGCTATAATGTTTTGACACTTTTTGCATATTCTGATGGTTCATATTTAAATACACTTATCAGAGCAATTTTTGTCAGAATCCCAACCACTAGACCATTGGGATAAAAGGGCTTGTTTCAGTAGCGGGTCAGTGCGCCCATAACCCCCCAGGCGAACGCGCCTGTAACCCTCTCCTGGATCAATCGGGCATCCACAGTGCAGATCTACTGACACCCCCCACACTAGGAGGCCTAGGACTAAGCACAGCGGCAACGGCCTACATGTGCATATACCGGAAAACGAACCCGAGACCGCTCTGATACCATGTCAGAATCCCAACCCCTAGACCATTGGGATAAAAGGGCTTGTTTCAGTAGCGGGTCAGTGCGCCCATAACCCCCCAGGCGAACGTGCTTGTAACCCTCTCCAAGATCAATCGGGCATCCACAGTGCAGATCTACTGACAATTTTGGCTTGGTTTGTGCGCAAAGAAAAGTTTGGCACCTATAATTGCTGGATTTTTTTGGCGACAAATGCAAAGAATGCGCATAGATCCCCATAAGCTTAGGAAAAAACATTGAACACTTGAGCAATTTTGGCTTGATTCGTGCTCAAAGAAAGTTCGACACACATGATTACAGTGGTTTTTTTCCAACAAATGCATTGAATTCACATAAATCCCTGTAGGCGTAGGAAAAACCATTGAACAACCTAAATGTTTTTGCATATTCAGGTGGCTCATTTTCAAATACACCTATTAACACAATTTCAGCTTGGTTCGTGCTCAAAGAAAACTTCGGCACATATGATTACGACTGTTTTTGCCGGCAAATGCTCCCCAAAGGTGTAGGAAAATACATTAACAATCTGTTTGTTTTCAAATATTATGATGGCTCATGCTCAAATACATCTATAAGAGCAATTTTGGCTTGGTTTGTGCGCAAAGAAAGAGTTGCTACATGTTCATGATTTGTACATCTAAACCCATATATGTTCAAGCTCCTAGTGACTCGTTTTGAGTGTATGTGCTGGCAGGGGATCTTTCCCGGTCAAGTAGCGTGAGATTTTGTTACAATCCCAATGGGACTTAAGCGAAGGATCGTTCAGGATTGATCGCAGAGTAGTGTTGCGGCGGAAGTAGTGAACTCAGGTCAGAGTGAATGAAAATGGCTGAGATTAATGATAGCATGCATACATCGAGTTTATATAAGAATACAAGGGAATACGAAAAGACCTAGACTAGCCATGTACTCTAAGGGGTACATTCCCTTCTTGCAGCGAATTCAAAACCGTGCAGCACGGTAATCCGTTTCAAACCTGTTCTCGCTCTATTCATTTCAATTTTTCTTCTGCCTGCATCGGTCTTGGTCAGACGGTTGCTGCGTCGCTTCGACTCTTCTGACTCCTCGACTTCATACTCAGTAGAGTCAACTTCTGCAGCATACAGGAATGCCTTCTCATACAACTTCATATCGTAACACTCCCCTTCATTCTTGGGCGCGGGAGGAGCTGACTCGCTTGACTACTCCGGTGAGGTCAGAGCAGTGCTTGTACTGCTGACGTGGCAATATGCGAAAGTCTGCTGCCATCTCGGTGGTTGGGCAATATGCGAGGTCAACTTTCCCTTTGTCAATTTCGTTCTTGACGAAAAGTACCGAAGCGCGATGTGCTTCTTGCGGTTCACGAAACCTGGCTTGTTCGCAATCCTGATGGCACTCTAGTTGTTGCAGTGAAGGCGAAAGGTGGGCGAAGTTGGGATTTTTGCCTCCTGTAGCAGCTCCTGCAGGTACTGGCCTTCGCAAACTGCTGCTGACGCGGCGATGTATTCTGCTTCAGCCGATAACAGGGCAACCAGCTCCTGCTTCTGTGAGTTCCGGGAGATTGGCCCAGTTGGTTCTAGGCGAAAAACAAAGTTGATTCGAGACCGTCGATTTGCAGGATCAGCGGCGTGATCTGCATCCACGTTGCCATTGAGATTGAAGGAGGTTGTTGTCAGCGTGTCACAATCCCAACCACTAGACCATTGGGATATAAGGGCTTGTTAAGTAGCGGGTCAGTGCGCCCATAACCCCCCAAGCCAACATGCCTGTAACCCTTCCTTAGGATCAATCGGGGATCACCAGTGGACCTCTGACACCCTCCCGCACTGGGATGTCCGAAGTGCACACACTGGGATTCGAACCCGAGACCTTCGCTCTGATACCATGTCAGAATCCCAACCATTAGACCATTGGGATAAAAGGGCTTGTTAAGTAGCGGGTCAAAGCGCCCATAACCCCCTAGGCCAACATGCCTGTAACCCTTCCCTAGGATCAATCGGGGATCACCAGTGGACCTCTGACACAGCGTGGAGTAGGAGAGCTCGATGTCAGGTGTGGAGATGAAGTACTGTAGGGCACGCTCCAGGTCCAGCTGGTTCTCAGCTGCTGGCTTGCGTGTATACTGCGCCAGTTGGCTGGCAATGTACGAAAGGTCGGGTCGGCAGGTGACAAATGCGAACAGCAGGCAACCCAGTTGCTGCTGGTATAGTTGAAGAGTGCCGCAGGGAGGTTTGTTGTCCGGTGTTGTTTCTCTAGGGGGCGGTAAGGTTGGCGTTGGGGTTTAGTGAGTGGTGCGGGTGAAATGCGCGTTCTCCCAGCTATTCTGCATACTTGGAGGCTGACAGATGGTGCTTTTGGCGCGTAGGTAATGTTCAGCCCCAAAAATTGCTTGACGTTGTGGTTCATGGTGAAATCAACGCGCTGCCAGGTTCTCCTCAAACTGGTCAAGGAGTTTGTTGCAGGTGCCTGTGTACAGGCAGGTCGTCGACGTAGACTGTCAGGAGAATGTAATCACCGCTGAAGTGAAGGCAGTACATTTCCGGGTCGTACGGCAGCTGCTTGAATCCGATTTCCAGGAGAATGTTGTGCAGATGCTGCTGCGAGAGACGAGGCGCCTGCTTTATCCCGTAGAGGGACTTCTTCAACTGGCAGACCCGTGAATCTTCTTCTTCGTATGTGTGTAGCTGTTCCACGAAGATGGTGGCATTCACCAACGTGTATAAGAACACGTTCTTTACGTCGATCTGTCGCAGTGGCAGATGCTTAGCGGCGACAATGGCGAGTAGAATCCTGACGGAGGTGTGATGGCTGACGAGAGCGAAGGTTTGATCGAAGTCGATGCCGTGGCATTGGTTGTACCCGCGTACGACCCAGCGTGCTTTGAAACATTCGATGGTTCCGTCAGAGTTGGTCTTCAAGTGAAAAACCCATTTTCCGCTGAGCACCCTCCTCCCCTTCACTGCTGCACGATCGACTAGGACCCATGTGTCTCAAGATTCTAGCGCCTTTAGCTCCGCATCCATCGCGGCACGCCAATCCATGGCGTGAGGGCCGGTGAGGGCTTGGCGCGAATTCTTGTGTTGACAGCACGCGCGCGAGAGAGTAGTGACGGACATGTGCACGCCGAGAAGCTGTAGACCGGACACGTTAGCAGTGTCTGTGGTGTTGGTGGTGACTTCCACCACGTCGTCGTCACTGCTCTCGTAGCCGGGTGAGACGGTACTTGGCCCAGCTTGGCGTTGTAATGGCCCTGGCGCGGAAGCGTCGTCGCTGTCATCGTCGTCGTCGTTGTGTGGGCGAGGTGGTACGCTTGGATGTTCATCGGCGTCATCGCGGTCCAGTGCCGCTTCGTCTTCTGGAGACGCGAAGCTGCGGCCGCTGTTGACGTAGCCGCGTGCCTCGTTGCGGCGTTCGTCCTCGATCCACTACTTCAAGGTGAGCCGCTCGTAGAAGAAAACATCACGCGCAGGAGCAACCTCCTTGCTGTCGATGTCGAGAATGAGCTAGCCTTTGTGCTCATTGCTGAGGCCCCGATGAATTCCCCAGCGCGCACGATGAGCGAACTTGCCGATTGTGGCTGAGGTCGGCCGATACTGAACCATGCACCCCCAGACCCTCAGCATAGAGGGATCTCCCCTTGAGCCGGTCCACTTCATATGAGGGGAAAGATTGTCTCTGTTGGCGGTGGTGGAGAGAAGGTTGTGCAGATGCACCGCATGGTTCATGGCGTAGGGCCAATACTTCTTGGGTAGGCC